TCTTTTAGCCCATTATGTCGAAAAAAAAGGGGGGAGCACAGCGACGCAAAAGACGCGCATAATTTGCAGCTCCGATGGTGGAGTCAAGCAAATTGATGAGAGCTTTCCTTGCTGGAACTGACCACACCAGTAAGCCAGCATCTGTTCCTTTTGATGGCAGCAAAGAGGTCAAAGTGCAAGATTGGGAACATGCTGTTTCATTTGAAAAAAAATGAAGAAACTGTTCTCTGTCCTGTTAAAAGCTACAACAATAATAAACAAGAGGATTCCACTTTGTCATAAACAAATCCACAGAATAGTGTTGCTAAGCTAAAAGAGGATAACCTAGTAAATATTTTAACATACAGGGATACTGTATTTATGAAGTTTGATACAACAGACTCAGCAGTTGTAACACATGCACATCGCACAGATATTGTTAAAGTTGGAGCACATGAATTTGAACATAAAGAAGGTCCATTTGATGCCAAAGATGGGCGTTCTATGACTGCATTTTGGTTCAAACGATGCCTTCTGAATGGACAAGAGGTCAATCGTTCCTGGTTGGTGTATTCACCTATACATAAAGCAGCATACTGCTTTTGTTGTCTTCTTTTTTCATCTACATGTATGACATCCGATAGTCAGTCTGCTTTCAAAACACAGGGTGGAATCTCTAAGTGGAAAAATTTGAAAAGTTAAATGCCCATGAAAATAGTGACAGTCATCATGAGTCATTTGCTGCTTGGAAAGAAACTGAGTACAGATTCGTCTTCAAAGTAGCATTGATGAAGAGCTGCAAAGGCAAATTCAGCAAGAAAAAATAAATGGAGAGATGTACTGCGATGGTTGCTGGATTGGACACAATATTTAGCTTCTCAGAATCTTGCATTTCGTGGTCACACTGAGGACATAACCTCAAACGAAAACCCTGGAAATTTCCTGTCACTTTTGCAGTTAATGACAAAGTATGATCCAGTAATGAGAGAGCATGTTAAAAACAAGCAAATTTCAACATCTTATCTTTTTCCTGAAATCCAAAATGAGTTTATAAATATCATGGCTTCACATGTGTGAAATTATTGTTTGTTAGCAATTCGTAGAAACAAATACTGTGGTATTCTGTTTGATTCCACACCGGAATTAGCCCATCGTGAGCAATTGGCTCAAGTGATTTGGTTTGTTGACATTGACTTTAAGACAAGAAAAGTAGAAGTCAAAGAGTCATTTATTGACTTTATACAGATAAAGGAAAAAGACGCTGCCAATATTGAGAAAACAATAAGCACAAACTTAGAAGCAGATGGACCTGTATTGAGCGATTTTTGTTCACAATGTTATTATAATGCTGCTGTCAAGTCAGGTCATCTATCAGGCGTTCAACAAAGAATTCTGAACAAAAATCAGAACAACCATAGTTTGAACTTAGCATGTCTTCATGCTGCAAGTCAGGAAACAATAGTTATTACCTTTTTTTTGGTATAATAGAAGCCATTTGTAATTTCTTTGCTCATTCAACAACTCGATGGGACGAACTGCCGCAGGAGCTTAAGATCTCTATCAAGCATGAATCAGAAACACGGTGGAGTGCAAGAGAAAAGGCAGTAAAAGTTGTACATGAAAAACTGGATGAATTGCTAGGATTGTTAGAGCTATTAAGTGAGAATAGCAACACGACTGAAACAAAATGTGGTGCTTATAATATTCTGCAACGCATGCTTACATTTGATTTTCTTGTACTTTTTCATTTTTAGAGAACTCTTTTATCATCTATCAATCGAGTGCAGAAACGTCCTCTGGACCCAGAAATGAATTTTATAGAAGCAGCTGCTGATCTTGATTTTTTGAAATAGAAATTGATAGAATCACGTGAAAGTCCTGTCAAGAAGCACTTAAAGTGGGCAAGAATCAATGTGAAACATGGGGATAGACCATTGAAAAAAAATGACTCAAGAACGACTTAGTAACTTGGCAAAATTAAGTATTGAAAAAGACATACTTAATACCTTAAATTTTGATAGTTTAATTGATGCATTTGCAGCAGCAAAAGCAAGAAAGGTTCATATAATCTAATTATGAATACCAGAATGTTACCTAGTTAAGTATGTGTACAGTTTTGTAAACTAATAAAATTTGTTATTTGTAAACTTAAGTAGTATTTTATCAATCTGTTTTATAATCCATGTACACCACAAGTGACTGGCTTCTCATATAAAACATAAGTTTCAAAACTAGAGATATAACAGAAATTTATTCTGCATGCTTGAAATATTACTCTAGCTATGTGACTTTGAACAATACTGGATGACATAAATATCAAAATGGTTTACAAATTATGTAAGTACACCTAGTAGGCTGTACTTCATTAGTTCCAGGTTTATAATTGTGATATCGTGAGCTGTTATATTGTAACTTTATTTTAGGCCTGTGGAAGGCGTAATTAATTATTTATGTTATTGTCATTAAGTGGGTAATGAGTCACAAAACAAATAATCAAAACATATCAGAGGTGGGGGCGCCAAAAGTGTCTTTGTCCCCGGGTGCTGAGAACCCTTGCTACGCCACTGTACCGAAGCTAATAAAAAAAAAGACATTGAGGAACCATTCATATATCCAAGTGAATTACTATATCATTAACTTTATTATATATATATTATGAACCGTGGTATCTGA